TATGATGCCTCCCAAGAACTTACACCATGGGGATTCAGTTGTTTTAAGTCAAGGTTTTAGGTATAGCCACAAAGTCTATGAAGTTTTCACCTAGGCCCTTACTCAAAGCTCTTTTGTAATCCTTCTTTAATAATGGCTGCTGATGAGCACAGTTCTTTTGAGGTCTTTCTGTGAAGACAGTGTTTATACAGTCAAGACAGCAGGTTGTTCATAAATCAAAGAATCCAAGTATTTCCCTTGGGATGGACTGAATATATCATCCCTGGAACACAAATGTTGCTCTGAGCGTTTGTTATGTCAATCATAAAGAGACTGTTTGTTACTATTTGAGATTCCTCATTCGTTTGTTTCAATGATAATACTATAAAGACTATACAAATTCTGTTTATGAGCTGCTGCTGCCATCTATTTTTATGATACTGCAGAAAGTATGTGTCATATTATATCCTCTGTTACTATCACCTTGTGATAGTAAGACGATTTTTTTCAGATCAATGGCAAAAAAAAAAAAAGAAATATTAGACCCAATTAAGGAAAGAAATTGACACTGAAAATTTCACCTTCTCTAAAGACTGCTACACATCCTCTGAAGAGCTGAAATCTCCTCTTTCAGGAAAATGTTGGCTCTTGATCTGAAGTGATTCTTTTAATTACCAAAGGAAAATGTGGAAAATAAGGGTACAAGTGTGCCTCCTAAATCAATCAAGCTTTTTAGGACATTCTTATATCTTTATTAATTATAGTATAACTTATCTTTTCAAACCTCATGGCAGTTGTTTCAGTAAAAAAGCTTTAGTAACACTTTAACTACAATTTGCTGGGCTGCATATACAAGCAAAACTAAATACAAGAACCTTTTCCTCTTTCCATCAAGAAATACCTCGAAGTGAGCAGTTTTGGTAACATTGCACTTTCTAACCTGGTTTTATTTCAGAACAGCAATAACTGTTTTGGCATATTTTTTTGAGTTTTTTTTTGGCCACTAAAAAGACCTTTTTAATCATATAATTTGTAGCGATCACATAAGAATTTTCTACTTCCTACTCTTTCAAAGGCATTACAGAATGGAATTCTGACCACGTACTCCAGCAGGAGATGTGTTGTGCAGCTCTTTTCTGGCATCTGTGCAAACTCAGGAATAGTTATGTCACCTGAAAGATATGGGACTTGTCCACCCATCCTCTTGCAGAGAAGGTGTTGCTTTTTCTCCCAAGCTATGCAAAGGCATTATCCTGCGTGACTTTGAATTACTTTACTGTAGTTCAAGACTGTTAAGTTCTGTGTTGCGTATCTTCCTTTTCTTATGGCTCATACTCAGCTGTGGAAAGAAATATCAAGTAATACAACCACTTTCTTCCAAGTTGTGGGCCAGAATCTCAGCTGGTATAAGTCAGCAGAGCTCCACTGACATTATTAGTGCTCCAGTGATTTGCACCAGCTGTGGATCTAGTCTTCCATCTCAATTTATGAAGGGCTTGAACTAAATGTCAGGCAATATGAAATGATGTCTTATAGTCAGCAGTTCTCCAGATGTGTTAATGGAGTTTAAGTTTACCAAAAGGCAAGACTTCAAAAAGTGATCCAACAGAAGAATAAACTTTCAGGAAGAATGCCTTACTTACAGGCTTTTTGGCAAGAGAGGGCAATACAACTCACTGCAATTTAAAGAAATTAACTTGATTATACAGCAGGGTATGGTAATACAGCTTCACTGAGAATCCAAGATTTAAAATTGTTTCACAGCAGAAAGAAACTGTTGGCAAGTAATGAAGAATTGCCATGCAAGTATGAATTATCCAGTCTTAAAGCCCAAATTAAGTTGCTTATGAACTCTAGCTTAAAGAGTTTAATGCTTCCACTCTGCAAGTGTGGTTGGGTTGATTCACAGACACAGTATAACAACTTTTAGAGATTAAATGAGGATTGAGTTATTACAAGAACACAGAAGCTTAACAGTTCTAGCTGTGAAAAGTTAAAACTCACTAGTTTGGTTCTTCATATTGAAGTATTTTATAAATCTGATCTACTGTGTGGTGTTGAAAACGGTTTACTCAGTGAGGATAAAGTTATTGTTGACATAACTATTCACAAGCATTGTCAGGCATGCTTTTCAAAATTAGAAAATGTTGACATAGGTGAAGCCTCAATCAACAAATCTGAGGTCATATAAATATATTAGTATTATGCCTATGTGTCTAGTACAGAATAGTGAAAGATTCCTAAGGTACTCTAAAAAAAAAAAAAAAAAAAAAAAACACTTTAATTACCTGCAGTAGCCTGTCATGTACAGAGGTCTTCACACCTAATTTATAAATTGATGAGACCATTTAGAACTAAGTAAAATGGCCTGTGTGCGACTGCATACTAAGTCATTCAGGTATGTTCTCAGTAGAGAGGTAATGCTTTAGACTGACCCAAAAAGGTAAAAGAAAAATATATCTTCAGAAGTGAAGTTGAACATAACACTGTAACTATACTTTAAAAAAAAATGTGCATGAATAAGTTGATTGTTGTCAATCAAAATAGTTTTGAATGATCTGATCCTGCAGACCAGAAGTTGTTGTCTAATATAAGATTAATATCAGATTTTGGTAGCTTTGCTTTACATATAGTCCAAGTGACTTGAAGTAGCATATGTCTATCTAGATGTCACTGCATATCAACCAAAAGACAAAGTCCTTGAACATGATTTATTCAGGCATGATGGAAAGCATTTTGAAGAATTTCCAGTGATCGCTAGTTAGATTTTCAGAGGAAGAGGTGATCATAATATGAAAGTACAAGCAGTTTACTGGACTGGAATAGAATGGTGAGGAAATCCTTCTGAATATTGTAAAGCTGTTAGGAAGTCACAGCATCTGACATCCAGAATTTAATGGACTTTTGCTGATTCCTTAGGAGCATGACAGGTGCCACCTCTAAATGAAAATAATTCCCCAGGTCCAGAGCAGAAAACATTATAGGACTGAATCTATGGCATATTTAAGGCACGGACTCCGGAATAATGAACCAAAGACCCTTTATTAAGCATCAAATACAACTTATATGCTGTACTATCCCAGATATAATTCCTTATTTGCCTAAAAGCACGCGAAACACAGTTACTAAATAAACCAATAATCTAAAGGATTACTTAAAGACTATCCAATCAGCTTCTTGGTCACACAGCAGCCGTACAGTTGCAATTTTCTCCTTTTTCTTGCTTTTACTCCTTGTTTGCTGATAGAACACCTGCACTTCCATCCTTGAGCTTTGTTATCTACTAACAAGGCATCCCAGACTACTGTCCTTGAAGCGAGCCTCCACATGAACCTCTGAAGATTTCATAGCTTCTGCTGGAAAACTTGAAGCCTAAGAAGCTAGGAATCAGATAGTGGCTGCGATCTTAGAAAACTTGTTACATTTTGGAGATTGTAGTGTTTTTAAGGCTACTTCTGTTCCCTAGAGCTTTATAATTAGAAATTTTGGAAAAGTTGACTGTGAATCTGTATAAAATCAAATTTCAAAACAATGATTGGAAATTTTAGATTTGACTAACCTTGGTCACAGTTTTAGAGCAGATGTATGCAAAAGCTTGAGTTAATCTGGAAATTAGGATTGCTTTTGAATGTCTGAATACACTAAGCCCTCATATGGCATTTGAAAGTAATGCTTTCCATCACTTCTGTCTAGTTCTTCTGTTCACGGTAGATGTTGTGTTGGCTTTGATAATATATTTATTTTTCATATTCTTTCTGAACTTGGGCATGAAGGCATCAAATCTTAGGAAATTCTAACCGGTCCGAAATCCTACAGTATAGACAACTACAAGCACATCATGACTGTTTTCTACTTCCTATACTGGTTTTCCACAGAACGCTAAGTCAAGTTCAAGAGGTCAGATCTTGTCTTAAAAGCAGCTAGTTATGTAGGCGCGGAATATTATGTCCTCAAGAACTCAAATGTCTGTGATCCATAGTGCTTCCCTTCTAAAGCTCTCAGAAATAAATATGCCTGTGAAGGCTTGAAATGCTTTTGGGTGATCCAGTCTATAAATATAAAATTAATTTTTATAAGGGCTGGAAGCTATTGCAAATGTCACGATCTTCTGAACTGCAAGACACTTTTCCTTGCCTTGCCCCCTGAAGGAGAGACACAAAGTCATGTTATCAGAATCCTACCTCGAGAGAAAAGAGAAACAGTGAACATGAGCACTTGACAGATGCCAGAAGTCATGTAACAGAGACTTTTAAAAATTCTGTGATGATAAGGATAGTCAGATAAATCCTACATAAGACTAAGTGCAGAGCAGCATGTTATTGAATATAGTGCATGTCAGATTCTGGCCTGAAGTTTTCAAATAGGACTCTGTAGTGTACAGTTATCCGAGAAAAACCTGCGTCATCTTAGTGTATATATATCAGTGCATGACACAGCAAGTATAGGTGTAAGCCAGGGATTTTTAAGTCCAAAAGTCGTGAGTGTGTATTATGAAAGGATTTTCTAAATTTGCCGTTGTTTCTTCTACTCTGTTGTTTGACAAGAAACTTGTACGTTTGGGGCATTGACCTCTGGTACAACTTAGTATGACTCTTCATATGCCTACAAGCCAAGCTGATGGGCAACAGATGGGACAACTAGGGCAAAGAGAAAGAGCAGTCATCCCGGGTAGTAGTGAAAGACCAAATTCTTTGTGTTTTTTTTTTTTTTTTTTGCATTTGTCCCACTATGCCTAGCTCTCGCTGTGCAAATTGTGGCTGAAATGGTCATTCCCAGTGTTCTAAAAGTTGTAACAGAATAGCTGGAGCCTTGACATTTGTAAACTGAATTCATCTCTTTGTTTTAACATTGCCCTCTCTATAAGTAATTAGCTCTTAAAAAGAGCACTTTTCTCTTGTATGTAACCTTAACAAAAAGCTCAAAATACACTATTAAATGATTGCCTTCTCTGTGTTTGTTTGATTTGATTATATCTGTGTCTAAATCTGTTTCAGATCAGTGTCTTTGTTTTTTATTTTCAGACCTGATCTTGCCTCGCAGAAGACATCAGACAAGCATTCCCCGGATCCGATGTCTCTTGAAACACTGGAAAACACTTGTGAGCCAGAGGACCTTTTTGATGACATCTAACTGTTTTTTGGCTGAGAAACTGAGAGGATAGAGCGACTACTAGACACAAGCTGTAAAACTTAGAAGGCTTAGTGGTGGACATTGAGCTAAAATCTTTACTGTAAGATTGTATTTGACGTGTGTGCGTTTTTCACTCCACAATGGCAGATCTTTGACCTTCTGAGGCTTGATTTGTGACAGCCTTGAAATCAGTTCAGCTAGTAGTTCAGCCTCTGTGTAGATTTTTTTTTATCACATATAAATTGGAAAAGAGAGCATCACCACAGAATTTTTACATCCTAGCGGTCTTTGGCTCCTGATCATATTCAGGATCATATGGCTTCCATATGTCACCAGAGAGTAAGTCAGGCGTGAGGAAGATTTAGAATTACCACTGCATTTACCTTGTATACTACCTCTTTCTTGAGAAGCTCAGCTTAGATGCAGTCTGGCTGAATTATTTTCAACTTTGATTGAGATTTTTTCAAAAGCTGAGTTTAAAATGGTGCCATCCAAAATGAAACATCCAAAAAATGTTGTTTTGCTTGTTACTTGAAGATTCCCTGAGGCATTATGCATTATAAGGCGTATTCTTACTTCTGGAAGTAAAATGCTTGTAAAGTCAATATTGAGTCTATTTTAACCTCCTGCAGAAAGCCATAGCCCTTTAAATGATTATTTTTGAAACTTCATTGATTTTTTTCTTAAGGTGGTTTATAAAATAATAAAATGCATTCTCAGACAATTTTGTTTTTACTTTATTTGCTTAGGTGCTTTATGTTTAAAGGGATTAGTTAGCCAGGTGTGTTAATACCTGACTACTTCCTGCCTGAAACTGATGCATTTGTTTGTATTACAGATTGGAGGCTTTGTCAGAGAAAAAGTTATAGTGTATATATAGTGTATATACCCTCAAAGTGTATATATACCCTCAGTGGTCAAAATCAAGTGTGTAGAGCTAAGCATGTATGTCAAGTTTCTGCTATGCAATTTTAGGAGCATCAATCAATTCTCAATTAAGGAACCGATTCTTCTATGCCAGAAAGGATATGATCCAACAAGAGCTTTGAACATGTGAGTAATCCTATAGAAGTTCGAAGGACTGTGCAACATAGTATTGCTTCTGTGCTGTATGGCTTGCAACAATCTCTGGAAATTACTTGGTATTTTTGAAATGTCATTTTATTTAGGCCCTGATTCTGCCAACATTTAAACCTGTACTTAACTGAAAGCACTTGTATCAGTATTTGAAGGATAGGGGCCTCCTTAAAGAACCTAAATAAGGATCTGGGAATATCAAATTTAAAAATTACTTCTTAAAAAGTGCGGTCACAGCATTTTAAATTCACAAAGGGCTTTGGGACAATGTTATAAATCACACAGTAAAAACATAAATAGCCAAAATATTTTGCTTGCTGCAAAGGCTTTGTACCTGAGAAATGACAGGACCACAAAAGACCTATTCATACAGCCGTTCATAGACACTGCCTGATTTAAAATCTTCCAGTGCTGATCTGACAATGCTTTCAGCAAAAGCTTGTATATAGTTTCAGTTTTAATGTGAAAATTTTCCATGAATTAACCCAAAATAAAAGAGCTTGGTGTAATTGTGCCCACAGCAGAAGATGAAGGTAAATGAAGCTGAACGTCCTGGAAAACTCTGCTTTTAAGTAACTATTAGTTTCTAATAATCAAATGTTATTATATAAGTAGCAAATGTTAAACTCACTTGGCATATGTAGTAAATCTTGAAAGAATGTTTATTCTTTTCTCTTATTTTAAGGTTTGTAGAACCAAGCCAAGAACTGAGCAGAAAATGATGTGATAGTGGACACAGCTTGGACTGTGTGAGCGCAGGTGTGTCATCTAGCAAGGGTAGCCATGGTACCAAGCCAGATTCCAGTCAGCTGAGACTGTTTATATACACGGAAACACCTCCTCTGTCCTTGAAGTCCACTTGTAGCATGTCAGTCTCCACAACAGTGTGAATGTTGATGAAATGTTCCTTTCTGATGAGTTTATGTGAGAGGTTACTGCTGTTCTGCCAGTAAAGTTCCATTTTCCAGTTGACTTTAAACAGGAAAGGCCCACCGATTATAATGCCAAAAAGGCAAACCTTGAACATGCCCACTGAATGAAAAGTGGTTAAAATTATGTGTGAGAGCAGGGGTAATATTGCCAAGGAAAATCAGTGATACTTCATTATAGTGCATATTTGTCTGCAAGCTGTAGGGACATCTACCTTATTCTCAAAATCAGATTTTTTCCCATGGCATTGACATGTACCTGAAGGCCTTCATTGACCATGTCTTGCAATACTTGTTTCAGACTGACCTGTGGTGCTTGGGAACTTGTTAATACCACCTCATCATAAATAATGCTAGGTAAAGTCACAAAGAAAAACTGGGAACTTTGCTACTCATCCTTTCTCATGGAATTCCTACTGCTGGGGCTTTCTAAAGCTTGCAGAGTAGAAGGGTTTCTACACAAGTCTGTAGATAGTGCTCATCTTCATAAAGCTCATGTAACATTCAACTTTGTTCATAATAGTGTAACATCTGCTATTCATTTTGTGATTCACCATAATGCACAGATTCTTATGTGCAGAATTAGTAGGTACTGATGTGTTTTTCCCTTTCAAATTTATGTAGCTGACTGTTTCTTTATAACTTTTAATAGCTGGTATTTGGCCTTATGGACTACCGTTTCACTTTTGTAGCTGATTTCTCCAGTTTGTCAAGATAATCTTGAATGTTAAATCTGTCTCAGTTTGGCATTGTGGGCAAATATAGTAAGCAAGTTGCATGCTAACATCCAGACTATTAATGAAAATATCAAATAGCTCTGGACTTAAGCCTGTCTCTACTGATTCTTGCATTCTGACAGCAGAGATAGCTTTCTTGCCTTTCAGAAGACTATGTTTTCCAGGCATACCTATAAAACTGTCACATGAAATAGTGACAGATATCAGTCAGCTGCTTTTTCCTTGTCAAAAAATATTTTAGTAATGATGAAAGACAAAATAAATATATCTACAATTAGTTCTTCAAGACAGGAAATTAACCCAAGTTAAGAAATGCAGATCAAATTTCAAAGGCCATCCTTAATTAACTCTCCTCCTTGATATTACTCTGCAAATGACTTCCCAGATATTTTCTTTTCAGTTTAAAATGTATTTTAGGGAAAGATAAAATGTGTAGTTGTTCTACTATAGGAAAAACACCATGTTTCTTACTGGTTTAGACTTTTCTAGAGTTTTAAACTTTTAAAGTAACTACTTAAGCAGAGTTAGTCATTTGATGATTTGATGTCTTGGCTTATCCAGAAAATCTTTATGTTCCAAAAGATTTGCACTGGTTTTGTTTTGTTTTGTTTTTAGGAGAGGAGAAGAGTAATAAACTGGGTTTTCTTGGAGAAGTGCTGTGTGAAGTATTGCTCTTGGGATGGAAATCTTATCTGATTTTGAGACAATGTTTTAGCCATCTATATCACTATTTTTCACTACTTTCCTTATTATGTTCAATGGGTATATTAGACATATGTTATTCTTCCTTGCTTTCTGTTGTACCATATATATGATTGTGTGTATAAATGTGATTCCCTGGAAATGTTTAGTATAATCTAGCTGGCTTTGTCAGCTTCTGCATTCTGCTCAAGAAGCCAGAGGTACTTGAGGGGAAAAAAAAAATGTCTTTACACATGGGAATTTAGATGCTGCCAAACACTTAAGGTAAACCAGCTTTTTTATGGCTTGCCATATGCTTTGTGGGAAGAATAAAATGTGGAAACAGTGAAGTAAGAATGGTAGAAAAGCAAGTCAATAAAAGCACGTCCACACTGCTCTGAAGCCTAAGGACATGTTTTTGAGCATCTTAGCAAAACTAAGTTTAAAAACTTGCAAGGAGTTATCTTACTAAAAGAGGAGCAGCTAGCAGAAGCTACTTATCTTCTGGAAACCTTCTTCTATTCCCACTTGTGTACTTCATCAATCTTCTCATCAGGAACTAGGACCACTTTTCCTCTAGCTATATACATGCTCTCATTTTAATGCAATTCCCTTTACAATATCTGAATTTTCATCAAGTCTTTTTCCTAAATTTACCTGCAACAATCTTCTGTCATCTTCTGCTTTGTTTCTTTCCATGTGATTGCATGAAAAGCAACAGCATGACAGCATCTGAACTTCCGTCCTTCTCTGTGGCCATTAAATGATTGCCTTTCTAGGGTAATTATATTTTCAAATCAATTTCATATATAAAAGCCTATCAGTATTAATCTGCTAGTGTTGGGAAAATGAATATCTTTTTAAAACCAGTAGTACCAACGGGGGAAACATTGAGCTTAAGGGAGATTATTTGTGGAGATACTTAGGATGAAATGTAACATTTGCATTAATGGCTTTGGCACAAAAAGCAGGAACTCCAGTGAAATCTCTTGATTACATAGCTGGGAAGCCATATGAGAAACAGTTGCTTCTGTTTTGAAGTCATCGTGGCCACCTCCTTCAAACACTGGAAGAGTAAGGCATGAGATTAGTATTTTCTGATGGTGGTTGTGCTGAGGAGATTTCAGTGTCTGTACACTGGGAGTACAGAGAGGCCAAAAAAACAGTGAAAAAAAACAGTAAAGAAGCAAAAAACCAAAGGCAGGATTGGAATAAGTGTAGGAGTGCAGCCTAAGAAATATATAGAGGGAGAGTATGCAAGAAACAGTAAGAAAGAGAGATAGAGAGAGGGAGAGGAAAAAAAAGAGTACTTTCGGGATGAGTACTGCCTGAAAAAGGGGATGTGGGAATGAGGATTGAATGAGGATGCTTGACCATGTTTAATTCATTTTTTGGGGAAACAGGACATTGTCTGGACTTGAATTGTCTGCTAATCCTAGAGATTGGTCAAAATGAGTAACAACAGCTAGACATTGCCATTTACCAGAATTCTCAGGTCTTGTCAAACAGCTATAGCAACCTGAATATCATCTGAGGTGAGTTGTTTGTTAATGCCCTGAAGAAGAAGGGTATGCATATTAATTCTCAGGTTATTTCTTGGTAGGAAAGGTCTTTTGTGTTTTTGTGACTCTGTTTTGTCTTCT